TAAAAACAATTATTTATAATCGTCGTGATATATCATCTTTATTTTTTAGCTACAGAATGATACTAAAAATCTTTAGAGGCAAGCAGACATTCACGGCAGAGAGAGAAAGAAACCAGAAAGATGGAGAGAGAGAGAGAGAGAGAAGAGAGAGAGAAGGAGATGAGAGAGAGAGAGCGGGGAGAGAGATGGGGAGAGAGACGGGAAGAACGGAGACTGAGAGGACGGAGAGAGACAAGGAGAGGGAAGGTGAAAGAGAGAAAGAAGGAGGGCAGTAGTCTGCCGGGTTCCGTAGTATTCTTTACAAATTACTAAAAAAATAATTTTATTCGGGTTTTAGCAGGGATGTGAAGATATATTTTATATTTTTGTGTTTGAATTGGAAATTTTGTGCTAGTCGTGTAAACCAAACCAAGATTCAAATATGAACAAAATATAAAAAACCGCAATGAGTGACGATCTGTTGCGGTGCAGAGATCTGCGGAGGTGGCGCCGGGGGACGCTGCTGCTGCTGCTGCTGCTGGGAGGTGGCGGCGGGCGCCGGTGGCGGAGCTGGCGAGTGCTGGGCCTCGGTGCCCGTGCCTGCCCGAAGCCACTTTCATCGCCTTCGAGAGGTCTTAAGGCGCTCCGCCCGCGCGCGGAACCAGGTAAGTGCGCGATTGGTTGTTTATGATTTCGGGGTCGTCAACTAACAGGGTTTATTAGGCCGTAAACGCCTTGCGTGGTTTTGCTTTCTGGAGGGGGAAGTATCTTTCGCCGTTGTATGGCGAGATCCGGTGCCGACCTACGTAGACTAGCAACGTGGTTTTTCGCCCAACCAGGTACATCTCACCCAGTGGGGGCATCGCCCCACTGTGGACAAACTCTAAAGCTCCCGACCGGTCTCCTGGCATGTGTGTTTTTGTAGTGCGTGCTAGTGAAGTGTAGGGGAGAGGTATATGACTAGGAAGAGGTGGAAAGATCGCTTGAGGTTCGTGCCCGTTTTTAAAGTACTCTTCAGCATTCGAGTGTGTCAATTGGATCGGAGGAACCACGGGAAACTGCCGATCAGAAGCAACCGGGCCGCTGGAATTCTCCTCAGGTGAGTACGCGTAGAACCTTTGCCCGCAAAATGAAGCTGCATGATTGCTTCGAGGGGCCGCTCTGTCAGGGTTGCCAGACGTGTGCGAGCTCTTGCCCCACTTATCATACTACTACTACTACTACTACTACTACTACTATACTACTACTACTACTACTACTACTACTACTACTATACTACTACCTACTACTACTACTACTACTACTACTAGCTACTACTACTACTCTACTACTACTACTACTACTACTAACTACTACTACTACTACTACTACTACTACTAACTACTACACTATCCTACTACTACACTACTTACTCCTACTACTACTACTACTATACTACTACTACTACTACTACTACTATACTACTACTACTATACTACTACTACTATATACACTACTACTACTACTACTACTACTACTAACTACTACTACTAACTACTACTACTACTACTTATACACCTACTACTACTAACTACTACTACTAACACTACTATATACTACTACTATATTACTACTACTACTACTACTACTACTACTACTATACTATACTACTACTACTACTCACTACTACTACTACTACTACTACTACTACACTATACTACTATAACTACTACTATACTACTACTATACTATACACTACTATACTACTATACTACTACTATAACTACTACTACTACTACACTACTACTACTACTACTACTACTACTACTACTAACTACTACTACTACTACTACTACACTAACTATCACTACTACTAAACTATACTACCTACTAACTACTACTACTACTACTACTACTTCTACTTACTACTATACTACTACTACTACTACTACTACACTAATACTACTATACTACTTACTACTACTACTATAACTACTACTGAGATACTACACTACTACTATATACTACTACTACTACTACTACTACTACTCTACTACTACTACTACTATACTACTACTACTACTGATACTACTACTACTACTACTACTATACTCCTAATAACTACTTGACTACTACACTATACTACTACTACTACTACTACTACTACTACTACTACTACTACTACTTACTACTACTACTACTAACTATACACTACTACTACTACTACTCCTACTACTACTACTACTACAAACTACTAACTACTACTACTACTACTACTACTACTATACTACTACTACTCTACTATACTCCTACTATACTCACACTACTACTACTACACTACTATACTACTACACTACTACTACTACTACTACTACTACTACTACCTACTACTACTACTTACTATACTACTACTACTACTACTACTACTACTACTACTACTAACTACTACTACTCTACTCTACTATGACTACTACACTACTAACTACTACTACTACACTACTACTACTACTACTACTACTACTTACTACTACTACTACTCCATACTACTATACTACTACTCTAACTAACTACTACTACTACTACTACTACTAACTACTGATACTACTACTACTCCTACTACTACTACACACTACTACTACTCCTACTACTATACTACTATACACTACTATATACTACTTACTACTTACTACTACTACTACTACTACTACTAATACTACTACTACTACTATACTTTACTACTACATATACTATACACTACTATACTAGCTTCTACTACTACTACTACTACTACTACA